AATGCCAGCCTGAAATTCATAGCAAAACTGTCTCAAAACAAAGAAACAAACAGAAACAAATAAAGGGTAACTCTAAAGATTACTATTTTATGATTTCTTATTAGCTTTAGGTATTACATATACCTTCTTTTATTTAATTCTCAAAACTTTTGTGGTCTGTAATATGAGTGTCATTTTTTTCTGATGGGAAAGATAAGAGATGTTCCCAGGGTTATGTGGTGAAATACTTCAATTCAATCATGATTACCTCTACTCCACAGGCAGTACTCTTGCCTACATCAGTGGTCCCCAAACTGTGGTCTCCAGACCAGCAGAATTAGCATTAACTGGGAATGTGTTATAAACACTAATTCTTGGCCTCACTCTACCTACTAAACCGGAAAGTTTGGTGGGTCAAGACCTACAAATAACAAATACATCTAATGATTCAAGCCTAAGAACTAGTGGCTTATGCTGTCTAGCTCCACGTACATAAATCTGTGACCAACACTCACTGCTGAGAGCACTTAAAATTTGTTAGGTAGTTTTTGTTTACTTTTTAGCATTTTTGAAGAAATTTTATATTACTATATAACAATCTCTGATATACCAGGAAAGCCTATGTAGTAGGGATGGGGTGCAGGGATGCAGTAAGGATGGCCGGAGATGAAATCTCAGGTCTACAGCCTATGATTATATAATCCTGGCAGGTTGCATAATCTTCCTAGTTTAGGGTTTGTGTTTGGTAAAAATAGAAATAAAGATGAGATTAAACACAGAAAACAATGACAGAGCCTCAACTGTAATAAACATTCAATAAAGTAAATATAGTTTTGATTGTGGTCATAATTAGAGGCAATAATATTAGTAACATTATGATTAATTGCATGTATATCTAGGCTTATGAATTATACATGTTGCAAAGCTCCAGAGGCTCTTCTATTTATGATTTTTATCATAAAATGATAAAATGTTCTTAATTTTTTTCAATTTCAAAATAAACTTGCAATTTATTTCAATTCAATAAACATTAATAATATAGAAGATACTGTACTATTTCAGGGTATTTTTAAAGTACAGCAAAGATTCCAGTTTTAATTAATATGTTAGGGAAAGGATATCACTATCTATTGAGTTAAAACTTTAAATTAAATGAATTAAATCTTTACTCTGTATTGTCTTAAAGCTTTTGTGGGACTTTTTAATGGCATTTGAAAAATAATATACTATTGTGAACACACATTTAATTTCTGTTTAAATTTATTATTTCCAGAAAACCCCATAATTCCATACTGTGACCTCTGTATAATAAACTACACAGCTTCTATGGTGATTTAATACAGAGATTTTCAAACAGTAATTCATCTGAAGTAACAGTACATTCCCTATGTGATCCTCAGTGAGATTTAGGCCTGTTGTTTTTTGTTTATTTAAATCAACAAATGAAACAAACCTCTTTCTATCCTTTTAATTATGCTTTTTATTCAAACAAAGACTATCACCTTTTCCTCTTTCTTTCTTTCTTTGTTTCTTTGTTTCTTTGTTCCCTTCCTTCCTTCCTTCCTTTTCTTCTTTCTTTCTAAAGTGAAATTTCAGGTCCTACAGACTCCTTTCCCTAGCTCATGGTTTTAAGATCTTTTTTATCATCTCTATTGTTCTACACCAAATGCTAGGCAATTTGTCTCTTTTCTGAAATGTGGCATTTTGCTGAACTTACTCTGCAAATTGTAGCCTAACAAGACCTAAATGTAGTTCAATCTGTTTTTATGCATGACATCACCATTACAATTCAACACACTGTAGCATTTGAATATTTTAACAAGAATCAGAATGTCAACTCATTCGATTTGTCATTCACTGTAACTCTTGAATTTTTCTCTGTTGATACTATCTCTAGCTATTCATCACACTATTCGGCTCCATTATCCTTCTTTCTACCAACTTTTACATCTGTTCTGTACTTCTGATTCTAATGTGTCTGATTTTACCTATCTCCCCATTATTTCAATATTATGCTACACAGTAGTATAGCACCACCCAACTTTGCCATCCCTGCTACTTCCATGATTCATTGTTCTCCAGATTTATTAGCACAAATATATATGTCCCAAAATAGTTTATAAGTTTAGCACTATACTAGTTCTAGTGTTCTCTTTTAAATTATTTTTGCAAATCAGTCTTTTTAAGGTCACAGTAAAATAGACAAAAACAAAAGCAAGGTTCCAGCAAAGGAGACAAAAATAAAACCAACCAAACAAAAAACCCCAAATAAACAAAATGACTAGACCTGATGCTACAGGCACATTTAAAGAGAAATCTTATTCTTCTCTTCATTGGCTTAATTTACAAAGATAAATTCAATATCAACTTCATGACTGCTGTTTTTCTATTATTAAACTGTCATCCACAAAGTACAGATTAGACTCCTGATCTTCACACATAGGTGGCTCAGTGAGTATCATGTACCCTTGCTGTAGGAAGTCACGTGTGACGTGGGGCATGTCAGATGGCTGGCCAAGGAAATCTTAGAAAACACAGAGTAAGTTTCACTAAGCATGTTTATTTGTCCACTTACTAAAGAAAGCAAAGCAAATAATATAAAAATAATGAAGGAAATAACAAAAGAACCTTAAAATGTTTGGTCTTAATTGAATTATTTTATCATGAATAAATGACAGCTACCAAAACCAAATGACCTGATGTCTTATATATGAACTTTTATTTACAAGGAAATTATGAATGTGATAACTATTCAAGTTTATATTAAAAAATCATAAAACTTGCCAGATGTGCTGGTGCATGCTTGTAATCATAGCACCTTGGGAAGCTGAAGCAAAAGGACACCAAGTCCTAGCAAAGCCTGGGCAGCATAACAAGACCCTGTCTCAAAATGAAAATTTTTGAAAAGGCTAGGATTGTAGCTCAGTGCAAAGGGTCTGGGTTTCATCCCCGGTATCACAAGAATTGTCACTGTATGTATTAAATTAACTAGCAACCTACGTGCTTTCTGCTTGTACCCCTACCCATCCACCTTACATATTCTTATACAGCCATTACTGTCTCTTGTTCCATCTCTTTGATCTAACAAAGTTCTGTTTATCCTTCATGCATGAAAATGAGATTCCTCCAAGATAGAAACCCTTCCATTTGTTATGTTCACCATCTTATGTCTTGCTTCAGAATAAAACTATTTATTAATAGAACTGTACCTTCTATTACTTTGCAGTCACCTCTTCTTTTTTGCCTTTTAACTTCTAGCTAATAATGAGACTTGTTCAATAAATTTTGTTAAATAGATGAATTATAAAAATAGCATATTCACAAGAATTATATATTTTTTAAAACATAGGCCTGATACTAGGCTTAAATGATCTTAGAAAAACTATAGTAATGCAATGGTATAAATCAAATCTTAATAAATGATTACATGGGTAAATTCATTAAAGTATTGAAAACAATTAACAGCCCTAAGAAAGAGCAATGTTTATAGAAAAATATAAGAAACAATTTAAATGGTATATTTAATTTTTTTCCTAAAATATTTCATGGTCTAATTATATGTGGTAGAATTAAAGAAAGTGGTAAAAAGAGGGAAAAAAATTGTTATAATACATTCAGGTCTAGTGCAATAGTTTTCAGAAAATTTAGTACAAAGAACAATCATTAGTGAAAATTTTTTAAAATGAGAATACTAAATTCTAAAAGACTTATGACAGATTTAATCACTGTCTTCTAATACATGATGGACCAACTGCCAGATGATATAATAAAATGTTTCCCTTCTTAGCTTAGTAGAAGACAATAAACAATTAACTAATAGAGCAAGTAGGAAAGTGTTACAAAAGGTGAGATCATAGGAAAAACTACTAAATAATTCAGTGGTCGATTTCCCTCAGAGATCTTTAAAATAGAATAGCTACTCGTTGATTTGTGGTCAGTGAAACATTAAATTCAAACCTAAAAAACTCTTCACAAGACAAACATCAATTGATTTCTTAAGTCTTCTCGTGTGTGGTTCTCCACACTTATCCAGAACAAGTCTCTTTCTTTGTTGTCCGTGAGATCATTCCCAGCAACAAACAACCTCAGGGACCAGCCCAGTGTGGTACAGAAAAGAGCATGCTCTATCCAGCTTGTCCGCTGGCTCCTCTTCCTTCCCCTCTGACTCCAGCTTATTAAAGAGGACAGAAATTGGAAAGGAGCACAGTTGCCCAAAGTATAAAGAAAAATGGGACATATAGAATCCTTGGAAATACATGTTCTTTTTTTTTGGTACTGGGGATCGAATTCGGGTCCTTGCGCTTGCGCAGCAGGCAGCGAAACCACTGAGTTAAATCCCCAGCCCCACCCTTGGAAATACAAAACACATTAAAATAGTTTAAAACACTGAAGTTAGAAGACCAATGATCTTTGATTTTTGTTCTTAATGTTTAATATTCCTTTCGTTAACAAATGACATTTAGTTATAACTTTTTCTCAAGAATAATTCCATTAAATAACTTTTGCCTCATATTTTATATGAAAATTATGTATTATAAAATTCTAAGATAAGGTATAAGTTTAAGGTCATTGTGAAAGGTCACGAAAGAGCAAAGATCTCTTTTCATAACCTTTTGCTTGTTTTTAATATTAACATTTCTTTTGCTACTTTGTTTATAACACATGATGGTGTTTTACTAATAAATACCACAACCTTTATGAAGAACCTTCAATAATTTGGCCTGAATTTAATTATTTCATTTTTATGAGATGGCAAGCCTACCAGACTTGAAATAAGGTGACATCTTACCTATATAGATAATGAGGACCTAGACTATGAAAGTTAGCCTAAAACTTGAGGAAACATCCAGAGATAAGTGTATTGAGGTTTCATGCTTCTCCCTTATAAAATGCGAACCTGAAACAAAGTTTTGTTTTGTATTTTCTTTGTCTTTTTTTTTTCATTTGGAATACATTTATCAGCCAAGATGTGAAAGCACAATTAAATAAACATCAGAAATTCAGGCTTCACTTCAACTTACCTGTTCCTGTTGCTCGAAATCCAGTCTGAAATAAGTGTGGATGCCTGCTGGTGACAGTGCTTGTTGCCAAAACTACATGCTAGCATTATCACTTCTCTGCGTAGTTCTCTACATATCATCAGAAGGGAAAAATTAAAGAGCAATATGAATATCTGGAGAGAAAGGGTAATTCATTATATAAATAGTGGATAAGTAAAGTATTGCACAAAAGTAATTGTTAGATATGAAATCCTATGCTGCCAATTAAAAGAATTAATTAGACAGATTGGAAGTTAAATATTGTAAATCTTCCCTGGAGAGAGTACTCTAGTGAAGGGCATGCACTCTGATCTCAGTATCACAATAAAGGCAGATCTTAAATTAAAACATAGCAAAGAAATGCCTTTGTTCCTACAATCAAGCAGTGGAAACTGTGCTACCCAGCAGCAGTCCTTCCAGGAAAGTGAAATGCAAAATGTAGAATGAAAGAAAGACAGTCTCATGCTGTGAGAGTCACAATGGTACTAGAATTATGTTATTGTACAACTCTGGGTGAAGAGAAGAGAATAAAAAAAATAAAATAGTACTCATGTTGGTAGGAAGCTTGAACAAGAGATCCATTAAAGTTATTTTTTGGCCATCCAAGCTTGATGTATGTCGTTGCAACTTGTTTTAATATATATTCCTAAATGGGGAATTTAGATAGAATAAAAACTATTTCAGTTTCAAATTTATATATTCTGACCATTAAATTCAGTAATAAAACAAAAATATTTTAAATACATCCATTTTTAAATATTAGTAAAATTATAGGCACAGTAATGTTCTAATTTTATTCAACTTAGTATATCAATATACAAAATAAGGATAAAATACTCTTAGAATGGGAAGAATCTACTTTTTTCTTCCTACTGAATGACTAAGTAATTTGCACTATTAAATATTTTAGATGACAATTTTTGTAACAAAATGAGGAAAATGAGGAGTATTGATAATGACACCTCAGCACACATATATAGGAATGTATGCAAGTACCCTTTATAAAAATGAGTGCCTAATACTTATGCATTTTGTGTCAATAGGGCATATTTAACGCAAAGCTGTTACGTTGGCCCAGCCAACAATCTAGAGCCACTGAAGCTGAGGTACACAGAACACTTCCATGTAATGATATGTTATTACGAAGTCAACAATCTATTCAACCACTGATAAATTTAAATCTCAATACAAATGTAAGATATGCTCTCCTTCACTTTAATGTGGACCTTAAATTTTGTCGAAGGACTGAAAGCACTGAAATTACCGTAAAAGCAATTCTTAACTTGTACTAAAAATGAGGTATCTGACATGATGCACTATTCTGAAGTACAAATAGACACAAAGATGCATTTTACTTTTATAGAAATTTCACATTACAGTATTTCTGTGTTTGGAAGAAAGAGACATGTAATAACATTTTCTATAGCACTTAAAAATTATATCATAATTGTAAGGACCCATTTCTTTGCATGTCTGTTATAATGCCTAAGACAAAACTAACAAAAAACAGATGAGTCAGGATAATTCTCATTTAAAGATTTTTTAAATAGAGTTTCTTTTCAACAGGCTTCAGACAAGAAAAAAGGAAGCAACTCTGATGTCATGGCTTTAATAAACCGATTTCATGTCACAGAGATCCAGTTTTGAGTAATTTCAAATGTGGAGGTTAATTAGCAGTCAATATGGCATAAAGCAGAGAGAGATTTTATAGAACAGAATGCACAAAAATTAGTAGAGAGCAAAATAATAAGAAATGTAGAAATCAGAAGCTCATTCACAGTTCTGAATCCTAATATTATTCAGAATGGTTATTAAATCAGATTAGGTGGAATCAGCAATGTACTTGTGGTTTACCAGGTTCTGAGCTCAGAAACTCTGGTCAGGTAACATTTGGAATGTTTGTCATGCCTTCATGTCTGCTTAGATTATCTGTTGTTTGCTTCCCTGTATCCCCTTGGACCCAATTATGAATGGGCTTTTGCCTCACTGTTGATCTTATCCTTGTTAATTAAGGAAGTGAATTGGATTTATCATGCCCTTTTGGATAGAAATAATGACTAAGAATCTTTACTGAAACTGTCTATTTTCTGTTAAGATCTTTGGGATCCCTCTACCCAAGTTAAGTCCTTTGTGAACACAGAGCCCTTTAACTCTTGGAAAATAAGTTTGAACTTTACAGATTTTCCATGTATATTCCTTCTTAAATTCTGAAGCATTTAAGCTTAATTGACACTTTTAAGCCAGAACAAAAGGTAGCTTGTATTAAATTTCTTCAAATAAATGTCTGTGGTGTTACGTAGAAAATTAGGACAAAAATGATAAAATAAACTAGCATAAATAGCTAAAATAACTCAGGGTAGTTCCAGATCTTAGAAAATGAGAAAATAGTTTATCTTCTGAAAATGAGAAAGAAGAAATTATGCATTTTTACATTGAAGACATTGTAGTTTTCCATGCGATCCAGTAATTTATCTAGAGGATAAAGAGCTCGGCTTGCAGCATGCCAAGGAAGAAAATCCTTCTCCTCAGACAGGTATCTGATAATCTCCAGGGGAATATTCTGAGGCAAATAGCCAGCCCTGCATAGTCAAAAGAAAGTCAATGTTAATTATATACAGAAAAGATACACGGTGATGCAAAAGTGAAGATTTTACTTATGCAAATAAAAGGCAGAAAGCAAGATTCATCTCAGTATAAAGAAAGCTTACTCAGAGCTATAAAAATAAAATTACTTACTTTTTGAATATAGTTTTACTACTTAGGTTGCCAATACCCCTTACTATATACAGAGTTAGAGAGTTAAAGATTTGCATGAATACAAAAACACCAGCATGCATTTTTTTCTAAAAAAAGGAAAGAATTATGGAATTTTAACAAAACCTTAGGTCAGTGATAGTAAAACTTTTAGAGACCTAGTGTCCAAATTGCAACCCAAAACAACTTATTTTGCCCAAAGTGCCAATGCTGCAATTAAACCTGAGTGTTCAGCTCCTGGGACAATGCTGGGCCAACTTGGCTCATGTGCCACCAATGAGGGCTCTGTGTGCCTGCTGTGCCACGCGTGCCATAAGTTCGCCACCACTGCCCTATGTAATTTCCTTTACAGAAATTCTTCAGCAGTAACAAGTATTGGAAGTAATTGATTATTAGTAATTACAATTATAATTACAATTACAATGTAATTGTAATAATCAATACAATGATTATTCATTGTAATGAATTTATTACCTCTTACTTTTTATGTAGTTCTATGTAGTAATATTTCATACATAATTTTCAAAAAGATGATCAAATTGAACTGTCAATTTACAGGGCCGAGTATGTATGTTAGATTACAATACAAGCCTTTTTTCAAATCCATTTTAAGTATTTTCCCAACACATAAAAATTAGACGTAGGTTTTAATAAAGTCCAACAAAAAATGTTAAAAGATCACTCTTCTCCTTTTCTCCTTTTAAAATGGATGTTATATCAAGTGTGGAAACAACACCAAATTCTTTAGAAAATAATGAAAGGTAGCTTTTAAAAATTAAACTAATACACACTGGATACATTTTAAGAGGCCATATCAGCAAATAAACAAAAAACCAAAAAGATTTGTATACCTCTAGTCTCCAATAGACTGCATATGAAATCCTTGCAAAAACAAAACACTATAAATGATGATACATTAAAGATTATTTTAGCCTTGGTGTCTCTGCCACATATATCAACATCAGATATTTTGGTAGATTATTTTAACTTAATTATTGCTACAGTCTGAATATTGGTATAATTCCAAAAATCATATTTTGGAAACTAATATTCAATGTGATGGAATTAAGAGGTAAGGGCTATTGGGAAGTGATTAAACCATGAAAGCTCCAATCTCATGAATGAGATTAGTGCCCTTATAAAGGAGGCTGAAATCAGTTCCTCTGCCCTTTCCACTCCGTGCCCTGGGTGGGCATCATCTTTGAAGTACAGCAAGACCTCATCAGACAACCAATCTGCAGGGCCCTTGGACTCCCCTTCCTATTGAATTGTGAGTAAAAATATCCTATTATTTATAAATTACCCACTCTAAGGTGTTTTGTTATAGCCACTGATAGACAGGGATCATATAAAATGAGTGCAGACTTTCAACACAGGAACAGGGAGAGATGAAAGCAAACAAGTAATATTCATTTCACAGTCTTAGTGCTACCAAATTAGGTGGACTGCCTTATCTGTGTGTGGTAGAAGGTAGACAGGAAGTAAAGCAAGGTCTTTTCTCATTTGCATCTCTAAGTTTGCCAGTCACTGTGATAAGCAAATATTACCTTATAAGTAAATACATATGAATATTAGCCTGATATATACAACTTGTAATAAAAACTAATTCTGCAGATTGTGCTTCATTTTTCTTTGAATTAAAACAAAGCAATGAATGTGTGACACCCATGATTTTGATTCAACAATGGGATAAGACCAACTATAGTTAATATTTGATACAAGAATGGTGAATAATCCAAAATTTCAAATAATTTCAAATTTTCCTAAAAGTTTATATGATTTAGGGTACATCTAGATTTGTGCCCCTTTTCCTTTGAAGTTTCTCTTTTATGCTTACTTGTAAAAATAGCATGAAGTTGGACTCCAGTAACAGCAAATGACCACCTTTATCTTTTAGCTAGAATAGCATCTCAATAATAGTTAAATTTGCCTTCATAATCTCATTGCTCACAGGAAACATAATTTTTATAAAAATAATGATCTTGTTTTCCTTAAATCTTACTTCCAATGTCACAGATTTTGTCATTTGATTCCCCTGAATTTTTAATTTTACATATTAATTACCATCATACTCACTTACCTCCTCCTCTTTCCACATGCCGTGACCTACATAACATTATAATTTAAGATTTATTTAGAACCTATTGTTTTTTTGAAGAAATAACAAAAGTAATGTATTTGGTGAAAAGAACCTTAATACACAACTAATTTATTATAGATCTCAAATAAGTTTAGAAAATGTGGAAAGTTGTCTGACTCTATTTTCACATAGACTTAGATATGGTAGCTTGTATCAATCACAATTTACTGCATTCACGTCAACTCTATAAATGGATGAACATTATTTAATGACATGCTTTGTGAGCAATATGATTGCCTATAAAAATGATAAGAAATAATGTTATGAAAAGAGATGTGGGCTTGAGAAAGAGCCTGGATCTTACTCTATTCACACACTCCCTGAAATGTTAGGTAAATATTTCATTGCTCCGGAACTCTTATTCCTTGTCTATAAAATGAGAATGTTTTATAGCCATCCATTTTAGTCCCACAAATGGTTTATTCTAAGCTACATATATATAATTTTAATCTGATGAAACAATTATTATAATATGGGCATATTTGTTTAAAACTTGAGACAGTACATCATAATTTTATGTTTTCCATTCTTTAATGGCTTAATATATACAAGTCTAAGAGTCAGGGCTTGGAATAGGTTTTATAATATACCTCGCATTGTGTAAAAAGAAATGTAAAAGCAAGCATGAGAGATGTTCGATATAATTCTAAAGTAAGTAAAATATACATTAAATAGAGAAACAAAACAAGATCTGTTTTGAGTCCTTTTGACAGAAATTGCTAACTATTCAGCAAATTCCGTGATTCTTCCTAAGATAGACTATAATTCCTAGTACATCTGGGAGTTAAGAATGGTCATGTGACTAAGACAGTCATTAAAATATGAAGATGCCTTACTGCCAGAGTTGACAAAGACACCTCCCATGAGTTCCTCTGAGCTCTGTTTTTCCTGAATGAATCTTCCAGGTGACCTTAGAAGTCTAGTACTGAATATATCAGAAATTTACCTGGGTTTTTGTATAACTGCACAGCCATGCCAGTTCTATCATGCAGTCCCATCCATACAAGAGCAGGAAATCATTTCCATTGTGTTTGACCCCAAAACAGGTTTAAGTCTATGTTTTAAAACAGTTAACCTTTTTCTAATGCAGTTTTCCAAAAGAGTAAGAAACAGATTACACTCAAATTGCTCTCATTCTGCTTTGTTACCAATATTTGTAAGTAATTATCTACTACATAATTCAATAAACTCAGATTTAAGCCTACTGGATCAAAATATGTAGCTACACTTAATTGGACAAAAGGATGATCAGCTCTATTAGAAAATTAAGAATTGTAGTGATAATGTTGGAGCATAGGTTACCAAGCTTAGATTTGCATTTCTGTAATTGGCTGGTAATGATATCTATGATTACTACTACTGATAATGCCATCAATATAGGATGTGGGTGGATTCCACTGAATGGAGCACTAGATTAGCTTAATGAGTCCAGTAGGGAGCTCACTTAAGGTCCTAGTGCTGAAACACAGTTTCTTTAAATTTGCATCATCACAAGGAAGTGTTGCTAACAATGTGGAAGAAATAGAAAATTTTAAAGCAGATTTCATGTATAACTGTGTCTTATTAATATTACAGCAAGAATTTGTATATGAGATCAATATTCTTCACTATTGTGGAGAGTGGGCATATCAAATCATTTAGGAATGAAAGAAGAAACAATGAGCAAGAGAACAAAATGAAGACTGTTAATGAAATAGTTAAAGATCACTCATATACATCTACACAGCTGGTCACACCCTCTGATACACTCTCTTTCATCCTTTTCCTTCCCCTCTTCCAATTCACTGGCACTTGCAGTGAAATATATTTTAGGAATACACGAAAGTATTTTGATAAAAAGAATATGAAAACCAGACTAAATTAGCTGATGTTGAAATGCTCTGATCTTAGCTGGCTTTGTTTTTATCTAAGATCCAGGATTGATTTTTAAAAGCCATTCTGAACTCTTGTAAATATTAACTCTTGAACCTACTATTATTAATGTCTTATACAAAAATAATTTATTTTACAGTGAATTTTCTTTAAAGGCAAACAATTCTTAGATACTTGAATGTTAGACATAAAAAGCACAATATTCAGACTCTTCAAATAACCACACACTAATGTTCATTAATTAAATATTCATTTAAATCTAAGAAATAGTCTGCTACATATTTCACAATACACGCAGAAGACACTATGCCTGTCCCTGAGGCATACATTTTTCACATACTTGCTGAAATGCTTAATTAAAACATTTATTAGGTTTTATGTGCTATTCTTTATTATACTTTATTTAAAGAAGACTTTTCTGTGCTCTCTGCAGGAGGAAGCTATATCACAGATTAAACTTACTAATAGTTTTCAGAATGCCATAGAATGAAGGGAAAAATATGGGGAAGGTAACTCTGTTAAACACTAGTATATTTGGTCAGTTTCTAGGCAAGCCAAAAAAAAATGATTCTTGTGCCTTTGTTTATAACAGCACAATCTATAATAGCTAAGTCTTGGAAGCAGCATATATACCCATGAACAGAGGAGTGGATAAATAAAATGTGGTATTTACACACAATGAAGTTCTACTCTGCCATAGAAAGATAAACTTAGTCATTTGTGGGAAAATGGATGCACCTTGAGACCACAATGTTAAGTGAAATAAATCGGGTGCACATGCCTAAATACCTCATAATTTCTCTTATATAAGAA